TCCCCGTTGTCGGTCTGGATTTTAATGATGGCTTCGTTCCTTGCACCAGCCATATCAGCGAGTTGTCATCTCGAGCATGAGTGAATTGGTGACTCTAATTGCTTTTCTACATCATCTAGTTACCATTTAGTAATTTCTTTGGTGAACTCTAGCATCAACCCATTCCCTAGTGATCGGTAGTCCCGTTTAGTTAGCTTGAATACAAAGTTCTCAAACTCATACACATATTGCTCCTGTAGTTGGTGATCAAATTGGTTGATTAATATGAAATTTTACGTCAACATAAATTGAGCCAAATTTGTAAATTATCCAGGACATGTATCTATCCAATTGAATATTTGACGAAGTCATCACTCGCGAAAAAATCTCATGTATAAAAATATATTATAGATAAATTAAAATTGGTGTGTTTTAACTTTTAAAATCGTTCGTACTTTCAAAATTAGTTGTCTTTGGAAAATAATCTCATGTATAAAAATATTTTTTTGAAAAATCAAAATTGGCCTGTTTTAACTTTTAAAACCGTCCGTACTTTCAAAATTAATTGTCGTTTGGAAAACTTGCGAAGTTGGAAAATTCAAATGCACTGAATCTATATAATCATAACTGGGAAAGAGTGATAAACGACAAAACAAATACACAATAACATATCCAATCTAGGATCCGGCCTCATAATATCAACATTGAAAAGGAGTTCAATGCTTTTTTGCTAACAGACACCAAAAAAATCATGACAAAACATGATTTTCAGTACATGATTGTTCACAAAAAGATTCTAAGCATCCAAGAAAAATGGGACTGAGCTTATCAGTTTTCTATCTCCTTATCTAAAGTCATTGAGTATAACTAATGAGATAGCATTAATTTCACACGAAGCCCGGCCTGTTGGCCGATAGAGAGTATTTAAATTAAATCTTGGTCAAAAGAGGCTACTATTTAAAACCTGCAGTGAATATAGGAAAGTCAAGATGCCTGAACAATCGGCCTCATAATATATATTGTTGCTATGTATGCAGGGTTTAAAAGAAGAGCTATTTATTTACGTAGTCAGTGAATAATGACATGGGAATTGCTTCCCGTAATATATTCACAATCAATCTTAGAAAAGAAGGGCTATCAAACTCCCCTAATAAATTTAGAATTGAAATAAAAATGCAAGTCTAAATCCATTAACAAAAAGGTTATTCACGACCAAGGTTGTCAAACCGGTTTATGCCAGTGTGCCGGTTTAGCAAGTGGAATGGTTCAACCGGTGGCACATACCGGTTTGTGTCGGTTCATGCCGGTCAATATTTCAAATAAAATTATAAATACTCATATTTAAACATGACATTTAACGACAATACCTAAATATTTATACTTGAATCCAACAAATAACATCAATATTTAACTTTTATACTCATAAAATAAATAATAAAATAATTTTATCAATTAAATTCTCTAAAATAAGGTCATTTTACTTAGATATTCGTATATCGATCATGCCGGTCATACCAGTGGTGTCACGCCGGTTTTATGACCGGTACCGGTTGAACCCGGTACAACCGGTGGCACGCCGGCCGGCGTGACAACCATGTTCACGACCAAACACATCTAGGAAAGCATCCTTCTTCTACCAACCACTAATTTGTCCAATGGGTGTAGGACCACTCCTGCTAATAAAAACATAGAAAAGAAACTAAAATCACCCACCAATGGAACATGAAATATTAAAGCTTCATTATTCATGATCAGTTCATGCTTTCTTTTGAGATTGTCCTGTGGAGTGCCAGCAGTTGGAATCACATTATTTGGGGGCATGCTCTTAGTAGCATTTGAGGCTTCTGCCTCTGCGAGCTCACCCTCCCTGGCAGCATGTGGTGAACTGTGAGGAGACACCCTCCAGATACTACTACACATAAGAACAACGAACATCAACATCAGTAGGTGAATCGAGGCAGATGCTCAGTTATGTGATAGGGTGTAAAAAAGTAACAAAACAATTAGACAAAAGTGGAAGGAACTTTATGTTCTACTGTGGTTTATTGTTTTACTGTACATATGGCAAGGCTGGATTGAAACCCAGTATAAGCTGATCGATCACATAACTAAATACATTGAACGAATTGAATTAAGCCAAGGAATGTGGGAGAGACTCATGAGGTCGCTGCAAGTCCCCCTGAAAAGTATAAGAGAAAAGTTCAAACCAAATAGATAGCAAATCAAGGGTTGATAATGGTTATCTATACTACTCAATAACTAATCAAGGGTCCATAATGGTTGTTCAATTCCCTATTCTACAAAGAAGATGCTATGGATAAGAAGCTAGAGTCCAGTCCCACAACGATACAGAAGAACATAATGTCTAAGTGAGCAAAACAAACGTGTGACAACAGAGAGTATTGGCAACAAAAAAAAACCTATAGAGAAGCCAATTAGTCCAATCTGGTTTCTTAGATTTATCACTGGAGAGGGCTAACAGGAATTTGGGTCTCCTAACTCACTTCATTGATAGAATGCAATGAAATTAAAGAAGTCAAGCTCAGTAGGATTTCATATATTGAGGACCAGTTCACTCACCTGGCCAATGCATGAAATTGTGGTTCTTTGACTCACCGAGTGATAGAAACCCGGATTTAAAACATCACTCCAAACCCCACGAAGACTGTGAGAGGAGGAAGGTCGGTGCGGCAAAGGGGAGTCGACGATGAATGTCAGAGAACCGAAAGGGTTTCTTCCGACTGCTGGAAACGCTAATTCTCTTCATGGATCGGTGCGGCAAGGGGGAGTCGACGATGACTCCACATATAGCTACTCATAAAAATAACGAACATCAACATCATTAGGTGAATACTCATTCAAGAATATAAGAAAAAGACTCTACAAATAAAAGAAAAGATAAACTGGACAGAGGGAAAAGAAGCAACCAGACCATTCCGAATAAAAATCAACAATTCGAAACTCCCTTTCAAGCACCATCATCGGCGCTTCCATCTCTGCGCACTCGCCGCCGTCGTCACCAGTCTAACCTCGCCGCTAAAGCCTTCAGATCCCGGCGTCAACACCATTTGTCTCGAGGCAGGCCAAGATCTGGATCTCCCGCCGATATCGCGATCTGCTCACGAAGGTGGTCAACCCTGGAGTCCCGCAGCTCCGCCAGTCCTCTACGTTCAAAACCGTTGCCTGTTGCTCCTCACCGCCCGAGTCCATATCTCCCCATCTACCGCTACGGATCGAGCGAGTTCTGCTTGGGGTCGCAGAATAGAGATCGCTCTCTGCCTCACCTAGCAGCGGTCCTCGTTGCCGTCGCAGATCGGAAAATGAGTGTTGAGCTTTCGTCCAGAGAAGGCGATAGAATGGTGGGGAGGAGCTTCGTCGGGAAAAAGATGTGTTGTTCGGTCATTGCTGCAAACTGCCGACTGTGCCCTGTTGGGTTGGTTGTACTATTAGTGGGCCGAAACAGCTGTTTGGGCCCGTTAAATACTGCTGCCGCGTTCCACTTCAGCGCGGAAGAAACTTCATGTTTCCAAAATTACCCCTCCGAGAAACGCTCCGGAGGCAGCAAATTCAAAATGGAGGTTCAGTTTTAGGCTTCAGCCTATTATATATAGGGTAGATTCTTTCTCATTTTCATCGCTATCCCTGTCATCGACGGAGATGGCGGTGCGGAGACGCGACCACACATGGGAAAGCTGGGGGAAGGGTTGACAACCAAGACGAAATCGATGGAGATGGCGGTGCGGAGATGCGGCCACACATGGGGAAGGGTTGACGACCAAGACGAAATCGATGGAGATGGCGGTGCGGAGACGCGACCACACGTCAGGAAGGGCGGACGACCAAGACGGAATTGATGGAGATGGCGGTGCGGAGGCGGCGGCTGCACATGGGGAAGGTATTGGGAGATTGCAGATGGAGAAGTCAAATTGGTAGCCATGTGTGCCTTAATCGGTAATGATTTTGTCATTTTCAAAGCTGCCTAAGTGTCATTTTACCCTCCGCAGCCGAAATTGTGTCCGGGTCTATGCTATTGAGAATCAATTGAACTGGTTCTCTAAAGTTGAGCATTACTGCGAAAGTGGAAGGGGCTGGTGAGCAGCTTGATAGAGCTTCTATGTTCCTGGAAGGCTGAGAAGCCTGCGGTGGGAAGTATTGGGTTCTCGCAGAGGGTGGAGTAAGGTTAAAATCATGATGAAAATTAGTGAAATTGGTGGGTCTATACCGTTTAAGTGTAGGGTCTTGAACATATATTATGACAAGGTTAAAGAATGCAATAATCTGATGGTGAATTTTGCGTCTGTTGCAGGCCTAACATCTACAACTGGAGGATTGGAAGTAAAAAATGAGGAATGGCTCCAGGAAACCTTCACCTTGATTGCAAAATTGCAAGTCCCTGCTGCATTATGCTCTAGTTGAGTAATATGCAAAAGCCGAATGTAGAATTCCAGGGCAGCTATAAAGTGATCAATTCTTGACATGGCACTTTACTGCAATGGGATACGGTTGATTGTCGAGTGGTTCAAAACCCTGAGCGTAGAGCGACGATATAAGACAAATTGAAGGAAAACTCACTGACAGGTATACTGTGACTAACTTTTGATTAATTATCTTCTACTGTCATATCCGTCTTGTTTAATTAGAGACCCAATTTGGGCGTATAATAAGTATGCAAAGGAAGAATCCCAAAAACTTAGGGTATTTGCTTGCATATAAAGTAACTGATGTATGGTTGCAAATTAAAAGAAAATATATTTATTAGTTAGGCTCTTTTAAGCCCTGTTTAGCGGGGAAAGCGAAAGTTCCTTTAATTGGACGAATATCCTTATTTGTTTGCCTTCTATATAATGGGTTTTTGCTTCTCTTTTATTTATTTGCGTTATTCTCATCTTTGCTTTCCAGCTGTGTGCGAAGTCTAAGGTTCCTCTGCTGTTAAACTTCCTTTTTCCTTATTTTTTTAATGTTAGATAGTTATCTTCCATCTCCCATTGTAAATGACAAGTCGGTTGAATTATGATGAAGGATGGTGTTATATATATGGTTTTTTTCGCTGTTGGATTTGACAAAAACCTATATGAATTGTTGTTTTATAGTTTTCCACCATGTTATTTTGTTAGTCAAAGTTCTACCAAAGAACATGGATCGAAAAGTCGGGGAATGGCCATTGTTAGTTTACCTTGTTCCTGATTTTGTATGCATCCATTGTTGCCAATGTATAACTTTACCTATTATTGGTGAAAATTGTTTGTTTCACAATTGAAATTAGGGGCAAGAGGCTGGCGGAAGATATGGCTATTGAAAAAAGCCCAAAAATCAATAACATCCTTATAGGAAATTCTTCACAACACAAGGTTTGATATGTATCCTATTTGTGTTTTATTATCATTTTTTGTTCTGCGTGCCTTTAAGCATAGCGTTTACAGCTTATGTTTTGTAGTGGTTTCTTAGCTTCTGGTGTTGTGTAGTTATTGGTAACTCATAGTGCTATTGATTTTCAGTTTGGCTTTTGTTCCTTGTTTTGTCATCTAGTTTGGTGGATTAGTGTATGTTTTCTTTGTTTGTCTTTTTGTATGGTCGTGGCTCCTTAGGTTCTAGCTAATTTGGTATAGTGATCCATGATTTGTACATCTCTTTCTTTTTATAATAGCGATAATAAAGTGGTTGTCCCCATCATTAAAAAAAATCAAATCAAACTTTTCACTAAGTGCTATTATTATTTGCTCAAAATTGACAGAACCTTACAAGGAGGAGGCTTGAGTTTAGAGATGGCGATGCGACACCAATTTCTGATATCATTATCATTGATGATGATGATGATGAGCTTGACTTGAAAAACAATTTTGAGGTATTCCTGGTACTATATTAGAATTTAGAAGTGCTTAGTTTTATGCAATGTATCTCATTTGTTACTATTTGGCTTTTGTGTGTTAGGTCGTGATGCAGTTTCCGATCACTAGTAGCACGCAGTTGACTTCAGAGGAGGTTGGACTGACATATTACATCTTTGTGGAAGATATTGCTACTAAGAAGATTCTAGTCAAGAATGGTTCTCAGTCTTGTACTCGTAGCTCACTGTGGAGCTTGTTGCCTAACGAGTACCTAGATGATGAGGTAAATTGGGTCATTAAATTGTTACATGTTATTAATATTAAATTGAATGCACTCTTAGCTCACTGTTAAGCCTTTATTTTTTATGTTTGAAGGTCATTTCAATGTATGCATGTCATCTCAACCATTTTGTCATGTATGAGAAGCAACATAGAATTGAGGACAAGTTCTGCTTCCTACCTGCCGATATACAGGTAATGCAAATCTGGAACACTACTAATAAATTCTTATTTTTTCCTTATTACATACTGTTTTTCGCTTATTAATTTCCCAAAGCGAACTTCTAGGTGGGAGTACAGAAGTATGTCTATACTGTTGACAGTGTATTCAATGATTATCGATTCAGCTACTTGCGCAATGCCTACGGATGCAACAAGGTACTTCTTTAGCAATTCAAGAAGTATTTTGTACATGTTTTTCCCTTATAATTTGTTCTATGTTGGTGATCTTAATGTCGACATTTGTCAAATCTATCTACCATTGAAGGATGGTAAGCATTGGTACCTGGCCGTGCTAATGATGGAATTAGAAGAAGTTCATTTGGTCGACTCAGCACCTAGGGCAAACAACAATGAGTTTTGTAGGAAGACCGTACGCCATATGGTTAGTAAACTAGTGTAGCTTTATAGTTAATTGGTTTATATTCCTTCTTCGGTTGAGTAATCTTCACATGGTTTTGTAGATGAATGTTTTACATGATTTATTCCTTAAGTTGTACTTTGAATTGGGTACAACGAAGGCGCTGCCGAAAATTAGTGCGTTTCAACTAGTTATTCCTGATGGGGTTCCTATACAATAAAACAAGTAAGAGGGGACATATATGTTTGATACCACTACGAAACATTTGATTTTAGCATAAACTTATGAAGTAGCTTTTTTGTATTAGATTTGATGGTGGCATGTGGGTTTGCTTATGGATGAGGTTCTCAAGTAACTTGGGAAGATATGATGTCGGGGTAAGGGATCTTGGTCTGTTATGATATTTGTTTGACAATAGAAATGCAAGGTTTGTTTTCTAATGTTTACTTATTTTCGTGTGTACACAGCCTTGTGTCGATGGGAAACGAATTAGGCTTGCTCTGGACTTGGTTGGTGGGCCACCGAATGCTAAGTTGGAGAAAATGCTTCGACGTGCGCATAAGCACTCGTCTAAATGGATGAACATGATCCTCAAAGATATGGCTGTCATGGGTGGAGATGCATACCTTTAAATTTTTTTGTTTCTTGTTTTATTTGTTGAACTAGTTTATTTATTGTTTGATAATCCTTTCCCCAAATGTTTAGTTCCATAGTATCGATTATTGTGGTACATTGACAATTTTTTAGGCATACACTAGAGCTTGTTTTGCATGCCTTCGGTTTTCCCAAGTTACGTGGCTAGACACCATATTTTACATTGTTAGTCTGCTCTTAGTTTCATGCATTGTTGAGGCCCGTGCTTACTGTCTATTACTTAACAATGTGTCCTAGTAAATTTAGGAGCATGCTCGGAGAATTCATATCGAAGCATACACAAGGGAAGGCCATCGAGCTGCAATAACACCACCAAAAGCAGATCGGTTAATAAAATCCTTTTTTTCCTGCAGACGAAACCCTACAACTGGTTACGACATTTTTATGCAAAATGACGCCATATTCGGGAGGCGTGAATCTTCTTCTTCCCCACATCTCCCTCTGTCATTCCTCTGTTTCGTTTCTCAGCACCTCCAAATGGTCGAACTCATGCTGGAAAACCCGTGCTGAAAGCCCCAAGCTGATACTAAACCTTGCACCATTAATGTCCATAACATCAACTTTTACAGATTCAGGTCTCTGCGAGAGAACATAAAGAAAAGAAAGTTTTCCGAATATAATTAACAATCAGGGAAGTAGACAAAAAATAAAGTATTTTATAATGATTAGCAAGCAGACAAAAAGTTCAGTACTAAAGGTAAATTAGTAATCACCCACGAAATCGCATAAAGAGAAATAAACCCCAAGACTCACGTCTGCTAGCCGCCTCCGCCCTAAAACCAGCCTCTCTTTTTTTTTCTGCTTTGCCGATACGTTAAAACGAGAAATATTGGTGGAAGCAATGGAAGAAGATCAAGATCGGGCTACTAAGTCAGAAGCAGATGATACTGTCATATTAGAAGCAATGGAAGAAGATCAAGATCGGGCTAATGAGTCAGAAGCAGATGATACTGTCATATTAGAGGGAACAGAAACGGTAACCAATGCTGCCTCTAATGGAGAACAAACAAGGATGGGAGATGCGCTTGAAAATTGCCCTTTTATCAGTCAGCTGTTCAATGATCGTGAAGAAGCGTATACATTCTACAATGCATGTGAAAAGGCTTGGGGGTTTTCTGTTAGGCGCTCAAAAATAGCTAAAAATACCAAGGGAGAGGTTACTAGTGCAACTTTCGTGTGTTCCTGTGATGGAAAGAGAGCCCCACGGAAAGGGGACAAAAAGCGAGAATCTCCCATGCTGACCAGATTTGGGTGCAAAGCAAGGATGCGGGTGGCATTAAACAAGAATGATGGAAAATGGGCAGTCGATAAGTTTGAAGTACAACATAGTCATGAACTAGCTAAACAGAATTGGACACATCACCTAAGATCGCATCGAGGTTTAACATAGGCAGACAATGAGGATTTTCAATTTAAAAAGGATGCCGGTATGAAACCTTCCCAGGTGATGCGGCTTGCTATTCATACTGCTGGAGGGCATCACAAACTTGGGTACACAGTCAAAGATGGGTATAATTTCAGCAGCATAGATCGCAATGAAAGGAACAGCGAGGGTGATGCAGCTACAACACTTGCCTATTTGGAATCAAAGAAAATCACGGACCCACACTTCATCCTCCGATACACTATTGACAATGTGAAAAGGCTAGAGAGTTTATTTTTGGCAGACAACATTAGCCTAGCTGACATTTCATGTTTTGGTTTGATGCTCGCATTTGACACGATGTACAGGAAAAACATTTACAATATGCCCCTTGTTATTTTCACAAGTAAGAGCACCCTATATACGTATTTTGTATTTACTGTACTTGTCTAATGGAGGTTAATTGATCACCCTTTTGGTTCAAATAGGCATGTATTCTTTTTTCCCACGAAGTTCAAGCCTTAGAATAATGGAGGGAAGAAGACAAGAAAAGCTGTATTGTTTTTTCAATAGTTAGATGAAGTTCAAGATCTATTATATAAAGTGAGACGCCAACTCTCACTAAACTAGTGAGCTAGCAAGCCAGCAGAAACCAGAATTAGGTTGGCAGGTGGTCATATTAACAATGGCCATCTTAGCCGTTTGTTGGCTGATAGTTGAATCGAGGGTGATCCCAGATGGGTTTCTGAAGTGGTTTTTTCTCAGCTTCTACATCCACCCTGTTCTTCTGTTATTTTGAATTTTGTTTTCCTACAATGCATATAGGTATCAATCATCACTTCGAGTCCTGCTTATTCGGGAGTGTAGTATTGCCTAACGAGACTGAAGCAACCTACACATGGACATTGAATATATTGAAGGAAATGTTGGGTGAAAAGCAGCTACATACGGTTGTCACGGATGGGGATAAAGCAATGAGGAATGCCATTGCTACTGTGTTTCCAAATGCAACACACAGGTTATGCGCATGGCATCTGTCCAAGAATATTACTAGCAGGGTGAAGAAAAGTCCGAACTTTGAACCCCGATGGAGCAAGTTTGTAACTGCTGATTATGAGCTAGTTGAATTTGAGGAAAAGTGGGAGGCATTGATAGGAGAATGCAGCCTACAAAACAACCAATGGGTGTCCACAAAACTGTTTGGTAGACGCACTGAATGGGCAAACACATATTTGCGCTCTCACTTCTCTGCTGGATTGAAAACCACATCAAGATGTGAAAGCATGAATGCAGTTGTCGCTAGGTATGGCGGTGAGAGGATCAGTTTACTTGACTTTTTCATTCATTATGATCGTCGGCTCAAGGATATGAGGGAAACAGAGCTTAGATTGGATTTTGAATCGAATTATGGTGCATCACCAGTCCAGAATTCGATATTATTGCCCCTTGAGGAAAGTACAGCTAAGTTATACTCAAGAGATGCATTTCTTAAATTCGAAAATGAGCTTGCAGAGGTTATTGGATGCATAAAGGACAAGCAAACTGAAGAAGGGAACTTACACATCCATGTTCAACAAAGGGAAGGTCGTGGAAGTGAAATACAACATTGAAACGCATGATATGGAGTGCAGTTGTGAAAAGTTTAAGAGTACTGGAATACTCTGCACGCATATGATCTTTGTTCTAAAAGAAGAAAAGGTTAAGACTTTTCTTGAAAAGCTGGTACTCAGATGTTGCTCAAAGAACCCCAAGTCATTAGACACTCTTCCAGAACCAGGTGTAGTGGGGGATGACAGCACTTTCAACATTCGGTACGGGACTCTATAGTTTTTGAGTATGCAATCTTGCTTATTGGGGGCAGACTCTCCTCTCTCTTTTCGTCAAGCTCAAGCAGTGTTGGCAGCAGAAAGCGACAAGTTGGAGATGCTGAAGAAAACCCTCGCCGAGAGAGAAAGAATTGTCATACCCGACAAGTTCAAAGATGTATTCAACCCAAATAAAGTGAGGTTTAAGGGTTGTAGGAAAGGAGAATGAAAAAAACAGCAAAAGATAAAAAAGAAGAAAGTGTGGAAGATGTGGGCTAAGGGATGGGCATTATAGGAGCACTTGTACGAACCCCCCAGCCGACGTGACAGAATCTCAGTCAGATGAGGAGGAGGAGGACAATGTCAGAGAAGATGATGGAGAAGAGGGAGGCGATGAGGACGATGATGATGACCAAGGAGGTCAACCCCGAAAGGTAATTAGCATCTATATTCGGTGCTCTTGTTATAATTAAACAGTCTTGATAATTAATTATGTTATTTTGGTTATATCAGAAGCAACGAAGCAGCAGGAGCAGTAATAATGTGCAGCCTAACGAAAACGTTAAGCCACTACAGAAGGTTATGTCACAATTACTTGGTCACAAATTTCTGACATTGTTAGAAGTAACTAATAGCTTAAGAGTTAATTTATCCTCTTGTAACAGACTGGGCAACGTACTAGGAGTAGTACTGTGACACATCAGCAGCAGCAAGGAAAATCAAATAAGCATACAAAACCTAGTGTGGAGCCTTCTACTCCGTGATATGAACGCCAATCGAAGCGGACCCAACATGTTTTTGTAGTTAAATTAATCTAATGCATCCTACAGTATATATTAAATAAGAGCCTTTGCTAAAAGTTACATCTTTAAAGTTCTTTTATCTTTGAAACACATCCAAAGCAAGAAGTTGAACCACATCCACAACAAGGAGTTGAAAAGTACTTTTTTTTATTTGTTCTTTGAAATTGATGGGACATAATATTTTATCTTGGTTGATTTACAAACAGTGTAGCCTTTGACGATTCATTTTTTGGTTTGATGAACCTAAAGAGTTGGAAATGAGTTCTTAACTATTCGAGGACATACCTCGTGCATTTTTTGCAAGGCTGCTTTGATTTTAACTTTGTTGTCCTCTTCATATTCTCTTTGAGGAAGTTGACGGGCGGCCGGTCTACCACTGGCTGCAGCTGGCATAACGCTTCGGCCATGTCAAGACTCCTCTTCCATCTGCTTTGCTTTTAACTTTGTTGTCTTCTTCATCTTCGTTTTGAGCTGTCTGAAAAGCTTGTCGATGAGCCTAGTAAAGGAAAGGGCATAACAAATAAAATAGACTATATCATTTTAGTTGGACGAACACAAATCTACCAACAGAAAACGTGGTCTTGAAGTCTTACAAATTCAAGCAAGGACGAAGTAACAACAACATTTGTTACTCCCCCACCAGTTCTCATATTAGATCGGACAGGGGCCCGAAATCCAATTAATGAATCTCCCTAACATCCCCCATCAAGGAAGCTGCTGCACAAATGAATAAACGGTTAAAAATTAATAGAAGAGTTGGTTCTGGATCAACAATTCAAGCAACTATGCTCAGACAGAGTCAACACTTACTTGTTGAAGTGTACGTCGCTTCACTATCCTTACTCCCAAGCAGAAAATCCGGACATCACATCCAGATAACGATATTTTATGGATCCCATCCTCCGTACATGGTGTGATCTAACCAATGATTAAGATGTTCAAAGAAGGTTAAAGATGTTCGCCAAACTACAAAATACTTGAGGCTTTAAGTGGACCATCATCACGGCCATTTGCTCCGCGCAGTTGCGAGCCAATTCTGTTAATCGCACGAACAGGAACACCTGTGTACCCAAACAAATTACAAGTCGTATCCAGAAACCTAAAGAGAGAAAACTTGTTAATAGACACTCATGGAACAGGGAACCAAAAGAAGAATACATACAAGGCCACATCTTCGGCCACCGGCAAAGTGAACCAGCTTCACAGACCCCAAATCCATTTTCCAGAAACACCAAATGGTTAATCAGCCCCATTTCCTCCTCCTCCTCCGATTCGCAAGCCCCAAATCAACATGAAAACAAAATGAGATCAAAGAAACGAGGTCAGAAACCCTAGTTTGGACTCGGTAATTGGGGAGTGTCCAATCATTTCCAGATTTGTTTTGTATGCAGCTCGTGCCAAACAAAGTGGAAATCAAAGAACGGAAAATAAAAACCAAAAATTCGGGGAAGGAAAAGGATAAGGAAATGCGAGATTACTATGAAGCTCTTTATCTTCTAGTTGGAGCATCTCCGCCAACTCTCTCTCTACTCGTCGGCAGCAACGCGGAACCGCCGTCGCCAATCAATGGAATGATTGGAATCGTCAACTCTCTCTCTCTCTCTACTCGTCGGCAACAACGCGGAACCGCCATCTCCTCTCTCTCTCTCTCTCTCTCTCTCTCTCTCTCAGATTGACGACATGCAACATAGAATGAGAATGGGGAGTCAGAATGAAGGAAACGTTTCTGGGGGACGAACCAGATCTTGTTCAAAAGACAGCCAAATTTTTGGCAGAATTAGAGAATGGATGGTTATTACTTTTTTCAATTCACCAAAAATCAAATTTATTAGGTTTTCAATATTAAAATATCAAATAAATTTCGTATATAATATTTAAAATTATAGATTATTTGACTGATTTTAAACAACATAATATAGTGTTGTCCATTAGTGAAGTTGATTGAGATAAATAAAATATGTGCAGTATAACCCGAGCAGTTCGAGTTCTTTTAAAGAAAAAAGGTTAGAGTTTGCCTCACCATTAGATATACTATTATTAAACATCACCGTGTTTACTTTTCTCCATGACTCTAATCAAGCGGATAGTGAATCCTGTGAAAAAAATAGTATGTCAGTTATACGTTATAACCAAAACGATATTTAACAAATGTAAACGCCATATCCATATAAAGAAGTGTGTAGCTCACTCAAATGGACTTTAAAGCTGTAAAATACAAATACACGGTAACATCCTCGTCCCTTCTATACCACATGAATTATAACCTATGGCTTTATTCCAATTTTTGGATCAGTTTAAGTTATGCAATGGTGACATGGTTACATAAATAATTTACACGTCTTGGATGAAATTTGGTAAAATCATGGTCTAGCTAAATTCCTACCTAATTAGAAGAGGAATGTGTAGAGAGAGTTAGGTTGAAGGTTAGTGGGGGTTGTTTCTGGTTGGGACAAGTGGGAAAAGGGGAATGAAGGGAAGTATCATGGTCTCAAGGATCATTTCTAGTTTGCTGATTATGATGATAGCTTTGACGATGAATTCAAAGAAAGTTAGTGATGAGTTATGTTTTTCCTTCTTCGTTTCTCATCTCGCCTTTTAAATTTGAAATTTTTTTATGGGTTTCAGATCTTCTTTGCTTTTTAATGCTTTGTCTATTTGTCTCCCTCAATCTATGAAATTGTTCTTTTGAATTGAGCAGCAAGGCAATTATTTTGCATCTCGACAAGAAGTCTCAACAAGTTTTGTAAGTTAGTACCTACTACCTCCTGTTGGTTGTGAATGGTAATGGATGGACTTTCCCATTATCTTTTTTATAGAGGTTCTGTTATCATCATTAAAACACTGAAACTATGTCAGCTTTCTAACTACACAGGCTGGTTCGAGTGTTGCTGTGGGAAAGATTGAAGCAAAACTGTAGTAGAAAATGGACTCTAATAAGGTGAATTCTGCTATACTCTCCTACTTACACAGTCAATTACTGATACTTTAGCCATTTACAGGATGCAAGACAGAATTTTGTATATCGATGAAGCAAGTCGGGTCAATTCTCCAATGCAAGAGGGAGTTATGTTTGGTAGATATGTTCCCCCATCCGGGTATGTTTCATTCTTAAATTCTAAGTAGCATATATAAATGCAAGAGCAGTGATGCTGTTGGATTCTCTCAATTCGTTCCTGATTTACATGAAAATTGCTCCTCCCACTAAAAATCATTGTAAATGAGCATCCCGGGTCATCTTATGATTTTGTTTTTTCAGGAACCGTCATGGGTAAGACCAAGACAAGTCTGAAAACAGCATATGAAGAGAGGGTGCTGTAACAGTCTGATCATATGGTGTAAACACCAAATACTCCAGCATCATTGAGCACGAGTTCTAGGTTGGTACCTCTTCTGCTTTTATAAACTTGTTCTTTGGTTGTTTTCCATTGAGTAAGATTTGAATGAACGGTAGACTGAAACTAGTTTGTATGTAGAGAACAAATGGTCATAATTCTCAAAACAAAGCTGCCAACTAGCCCTTCACATAAATTTTTTGTCAAGCTCCAAATACAAATCCATCCAAAAAACTACAATGCTAAACAAAAGGAGATACAGCCCAGCTTCCTCATCATTGTTTGATGATGTTCTTTTCCCTTGCTGCTACCTTTAGACTATCTCCTCTTTTGTAACAGCATAGACAATATAGAATGAAACAATTAACCGAAATAACATTTATGTTTTAAAACATGATGTTACTGAGACGTACCTGGGGAGGCTCATCACTTGGAGGTTGATTAGAGTGTGGTGCACGTTGACTAGGTTCTCCGCACTCTCTAATGGCTTTAGTAGCACTTCTAGTACGTGGCATCGACTGTTTCAAAAAACGAGCATTCAATACTTGTAATATTATTCTATAATAGTCAACAACCAACATTGATTTACAATGAATAGTTCACAAACATTAAGAAGATGAACACTGAAATGACAATGACCTTTGGGGGCTGGCCACCTTCCTCATCATTGCTGTTGCCATCATCTTCCTCATCATACCCATCATCATTCTCAGGAGCATCCCAATCCTCATTTGCGTTGTCATCAGATGAAGGAGGTGTAGGTGGCGGGATGAAATCATCGGGTTCAGGACAAGTATTTCTATAATGTCCATCCTTTTTCTTGCACTTACCATACCTTCGCGTTTTAAGTTTGGGACGCTTTGTTCCCTTGCTTTTCCTACACCCTTTATATATTACTTTCTTTGGGTCTAGCACACCTTCGTACTTCTTGGGTATGACCGTCTTTCTCTCGGCTGGGGTCGTTCCCATCATTTCTAACTTGTTAGTAACTGCTCTAATACCCCCCTGAGTAACCTGATAAGAGAGTGGAGAACATGCCCCTAATAAGAACAACCTCATCGCCAGGAACTAGAGTGACCCATACCTGCTGTTGAAATGATGATCATCCCCGATAATCCGTGGAAGTGGCAAAATGGGCAACAACTTTGGGTTCTTGGACCATCGTTTCATTACAAAATTCCCGGGAAGGCTTTTCACCCTTTCTTCCTTCAGCACCAAGATCATGTGTGTGCATGGTATTCTCATACTCGTAAACTTACCACAACTCCACTCCATCTCATTTGTGTTAATATTATATTTCATCTCCCGGACCGTATCTTTGTTAAACATGGTCAGACTGTATATGTGTAAGTTCCCATCAACACTTGTACCATTCTTGATGCAACCCTACAATTGCTTCAATCCATTTGTAAATTCATCAAAGGCTGCTTTTGTGAATAACTTAGCTGCAGTTAGTTCTAGGGTCCTTTGGACTGTACTCTTCAGAGGAGGTATACCATAACTTAGCTCGTTTATAAATTTTTCAGCTCGAACTCGAATTTTGATCATCCAGCTCGAGCTCGAGCTCGACTCGATTAAAAATAATCCAGCTTGAGCTCAGCTAGATAGAGCTCGATAAATGCTCATTAACACAGCTTGTCAAGCTGAGTACAAGCTCGGCTCAAGATGAGCTCGATTTGAAACCATTCTTTGTTGAAAAATGTGTACAAATAAGAACATTAGAAACTAAAAATGATAAAGAGAACACTAGAAACGAAAAATAACGTCTAACTTTCATACACATCCTTATTAACAAGATAGTTTTCATGTTCAAAAGAGTAATTAATCATTTCACAAGCTCTAAACAAGCCAGCTCGCGAGCTTAGCTCAACAAGCCACCGAGTCAAGCTAGCTCACGAGCTTATCAAGCTGAGCATGGTCTAGCTCAAGCTTGGCTCGTTTACTAACGAGTCGGCTCGCGAGTCGGCTTGTTAAATAACGAGTCGAGTGTCGAACGAGTTTTTTTCGATTCGAACGCCGAGTTGCTCGCGAGCGGCTTGGCTCATTTGCAGCCCTATACCCACACTAAACATAGACCAAGAATAGACAAAACTATGTATAGTGAATAGACAACACTGTGACCAGCATAAAATACATTAACAAGTTTCCCAGAACTATGTAAATCATGAAGGGACAAACTGTTCCCCTGAAAATATAACAAGATGCATGTTATATATGTTTCTTTTATAAGTGGTGTCAAATGCCAGCAAGTCTCCGAAAATTGAAATATCAGCAATGCTGATGCTGTCTGCCCAAAACAGCTTCTCCAGTCTGTTTTCTTCGTCGACAGCGTGTCTTAAATTGAATTGAGTGTCTGCACTTTTCTTCG